AGTTTGGGAGTCGGGTCTGGAATGTTTACGCGATCCGGTGTCCTTTCGACGCTTCTCTCCACCGTGTGTCCATCACGCCAAGGGAGGAAAGCCAGAAAAGAATACACGACGGAAAAGAAGACTTAGAGGAAAAACGAAAGAACGAACAGGAGGAGAGAGCAAGAGAGCACAGAAAGAGAGAATCGCGCAGCCTCTCCCCTCCTCTCTCTATTGAAGGATACCAACACTCTACTAAGAGGGTTCAGTTTTCCTCATTTTCGCAGAAGGAGCGCAGTTGGAGGTGTATGCTACAGTGTCAGTAGAAAATGCTTCGTATCCAAAGCAATAATGCCCTTCAAAGCAGAGGAGTATACTGACATCACCGGTGAGTATACTAACATCAGGGTTTAGTATACTTAGAGTATACAAGTTATAATACTAAGTATACTAGAACACATCACTTCCGAGTATACTGAGAGTATATTATATTAGAATACTAAAGTATACTAGAACAGATCCTTCTATATACCAACGTCACTTCTGAGTATACTGAGAGTTTACTATAGATATACAAGTTAGACTACTAAAGTATACTAGAACAGATCCTCAGTATACCATGTGTTGCGTGATGTGTTGTGCAGAGTTTCAGGCATTGGCAGAGATCATTGGACCGTATGGCATCAGGTTCATGGGAGAGAAACTAATGGAACAGGTTAACACAGTGCACTATAATATACATGTAATGAATGCTTGCCTTTTGTAACTGCACACTGCTACATGTACATATGTAATGGTGCTACAATGCTACAAACGAAATTGGAAACTTTTTTTTTGATCCCTACTGTATGTAATGGTGCTACAATTTGGACGCATCTTCAACCACTGCTGGCTTTTACTAATGGTAACCTCTCTAACCTGTGTATGGTTGTGAGTTAACCCCTCTGAAACTATTAGCTTTTGCATCCATTTCCCCCTTCGACTGAGGTATAAATCACTGCTGTTACATATCATAACTGTGGTTAAAGTTGAACATCTTTATAAAGGACATCAAGATTTTCCTCTATACAAAGATGTCGTTATTCAGTGTTAGAAAAAACTACACAATAGGGTTAGCACCGGATTGAAGCAATTCTCCTTTTTAGAGAGGTGTCCTTTATAGAGAGGTACCCCTTATAGAGAGGTGCCCTTTATAGAGAGGTACCCTTCCGAGTGCCCTCATGTATAGATTTGATGATGGCAAGTGTGCTCTATGAGCGCGCATCGCGAATAGAGCTTGGTATACGTTACCCCAGCAACGGCACATTATAGGGTATGAGTTACTACAGAGATGTGTACCAAGTATAGGTTTGATGATGGCAAGTGTGCTCTATTCGTGCTGCGCACTCATAGAGCACACTTGCCATCATCAAACCTATACATAGAGGGGTGTCCCTTATAGAGAGGTGTTCTTTATTCCGAGTGCCCTCATAGATTATGAGAGGCTCCATTGTATGACCTCTATGTTAATGTTGACCCCTTTTGTCTGGTAGGTGAGTGGACAGGTGAAGGAGATCAAGAGACTGGTGGTGGCCAACCAGGACACCCTCCTTGCCCTCCACACCAACAGGGACAAGACCGAGATATTTCACGAAGTCCTCCGCAAGTTGAGAAGTGAGTCCAGTGGGATGCAGCCATTTTTTTGGAAAAAAAATTTGCTTTTTTTGTCAGGAGAGGAGAAAACAGTTCAATAGGGGGTACAACTCTCAATTGATTTGTAGTTGAGGGGGCAAAACCAATTTCAGGTAGGGGGCAAGTTCCCCTTCCCCCGGTTATCTAGGATATCCACTGTACTTTGCCTTACTTTACCTGATTCTTGATTTTTGAACACAAAGCGTTTCCATCTTCTAATTATGATGTGGCCAACGTTACACACTCACAAAGTTGCCCCTGTATGTCTCCAATGTAAAGAAAAATTCTGTTACGATTTTGCTCCCGTGTGCATTGATGTAGGCTAGGTTCACAATATGTCGCATTGCCCTGCCGTGCCGTGCTGTGCCACGTTGCAACGTTGTGAGGATTTCTCTATCTGCGCAGCACTGCCGCACGACAGGGCAATGTGACATTTGTGATTCTATCCTAAAACTTTAAGAACAAAGGTTTCCGTTACAGGCTATGTAAATCTGGATGTTCAGATCTCGCACTCTCTCTGCAGATTCTGACGACCTCATTGCTAGGACGGTGATAGTTGGAGTGATCCTGGCCTTCAGGAAGATGTCTCTGGCCGCGCTGCACAGTGTCCTCACGTACCGGGTTCCCTTCATGCTCTCCTCCATCGCTGACTTCAAGAAGAACCTCCCCGACAAGGACTCCAACGTGAGATGACCCTTCCCTCGCTCCTCACGCATCTGCCTCCCTCTCTCCTCCCTCTCTTTACTCCCGTCTTTCTCTTCTCTGCTTCTGTCATTAACATCTTCCACCGACTCCCTCACTCCCTCTCACCTCTCTCACCCTCTCACCTCTCTCTCCCATCTCTTCCCTTCTGCTTCCCTCCTCCTCCAATGCTCTGTTTTTCTCTCACCTTCTTTATTCTACCATACTTGCTCCCGTTATTTCATTTGACAAAACTGCAGTCTGAAGCCTTGTTTAATGGTTCTCCTCCCTCTCTCCCTCCCTCCCCTCCCTCCACTCCAGGTTGCAGATCACATGGCAATGGCTGCAGGTCTCCCATGTGAGGTCGATCCTCTACTCCTCCATGCAATGAAGAGCCACTGTGACCAGGTATTATAATATACAAACCACTGCACAGTGGAACCCCTCTCTAAAGACAACTCTCTCTCCCCCTCCCCCCCTCTCCCCCTCCCCCCCTCCCCCCTCCCCCATCTCCCTGTGGTTCCCAGGGTCGCGACGACTACAGCATATGGAGCCTGTTCCTCATCTTTGTGGGTGTGACTCTCCCCGAGCTTGCCTTCAAACCGGACTCCACCTTCCTCCCTTCGTTCGAAGGTCACGAGAACAACATTCACTGCTTGGCAATCGCAGTCAATGCCCTGGCAGGAGCCATCTTCCTCTCGTACGGCAAGGATCATCAGCGAGACCGAATGAAGGAGTTTCTGGTGGTAAGTGGGACAGGGATGAGAGGAAGGGGTTTGATAGGACACATACATATCAGTGTTACATACATCTTGTGGTAACCCACACTGTGTACTTGTCACTATATACCATGAGTGCATCCTCTATTTGATAGTGTGGGAGTTCTACTACAGTGGAACCTCTGAACAATGGACACTATGGGACCAACTATATTGTCCTTTGTAGAGAGGTTGTCCCTATCTCATAATACACTAAAGTATTGTAGCATGGGGTTGAAACAAGTGTCCTTTGTAGAGAGGTTGTCCCTATCTGAGAGGTCAAATAATACACTAAAGTATTAGCATCCGGAGGTTCCACTGTATCGTGTCATGTTCTAGACGCAATGGTCCCTCGTAGGTCAATGTCTATGACAGTATAATTTGTTTTTTCATCTTGTCTGTCACTTATATTGGCGACAGAGCAAGCCCACCTGCGTAGTCATCTGAACTGCGTGGTTTTCTGTTGTTTGTTGATGGCACTGTCTGCTTCTAAATACACGTAAAAAAGCTGAAATTTGGCACTCAATTCGTTCACCAATGATGTCATTCTCTATTACTCTCTTGCCATTTTCTGTTCTTGTGCTCTCCTTCTGATAACCTCCCTGTGTCCCCTCTATTCCCTCCTCCTTCTCTTCCTCCCTTCCTCCCTCCCTCCCTCTCCTCCTTCCCTCCCTCCTCCTTCCCTCCTCCCCCTTCCCCTTCCCCTCAGTTTACATCGTCCAGGATCATGACGCTGGCCAAGGAGACTGAGAAAGAGAGGGACACGCCTAAAGCTCGCGAAGCCATCTATCTCCTCCTAGACTTGGTACGAGGCCTGCTCAGCAGCCCCTGGATAAGATAGTCTATATATAGCTAGCAAGTGACATAATTATTGTAAACCCAGCCTTACAGTTACAAAATAGTGTCGAAGAATCACACAGGCCTCTGTGTGGATAGAAAAATGATTGTTCAACTACGAAGGTTTTGTATGTATGTATTCTACCATCTAACCTCTGTTTGTGTTGTGTTGTTAAACTCACAGTTTGTGGAGGAGAGTCCGTTTCTGTCCAGAGATCTACTGGAGTCTTGTTTCCCCTATGCTCTCCTCAGAGATGCCTACAACTCTGTCTACAGAAAGCCACTGGTATATACATACATACATACACCTAACCATTACTGCTGTCTAAAAAGCCACTGCTAAACAACGTATGTAAACTCCACCCTAACCATTACTGCTGTCTAAAAAGCCACTGGTACAAACTCCACCCTAACCATACTGCATTGCATCTCAAAAGTGCCAAGTTTTGAAAAATTAGCAGTTACAGTGGGTCCCACTTAATATCATACCGTTTAATAATCCCGTTTATTATCATACAAACCTGAAATCCAAAACCATTTCCTATGCTTTCCCATACGTTTTACTCCGTTTTATAGAATATGGAGAATGTCATATCCAGCCTATTAACATAGAAAAATTGAGCAATTTTGGTTTTTGTCCGCATATTGTCATTATTACGCATGTGTAATTGGTCTAGTCTCGTGCCCAGAACCACACCCTCAAGAGAGGAAAAGGGTCTGGTGATTTCTTGGTTGTGCTGACTCATCATTGTCGAGTGCATGCGCCGTTTTCGTTCGAGGACACGCGGAATCCACGGAGCTGCATTACGATCTATTACATAACATCATGTGATATTTCACTGTCGTGGCAAATGCTGCAATCTGATTCGGTGTCTCGAAAGTAAGACTGTAGAGTCAGCACAACCAAGAAAAGCTCAATAGTCACCAGACCCTTTTCCTCTCTTGAGGGCGGGGTCTGGGCAAGAGTCCAGCTGGACTCTCCATTCACCGCCTGGCTCAGCTTATGTAAACAGCTAGGCTGGCCTAGCTTAGCTGTGCATGGCTATCTGGGTCACAGTATACATTGGTACACCAGTATCCACACCCACATTGTAGAATATGCCACAAATTAATACTGACATTGGCCAGCCTGAAGCCCACAGCTCAGAATACAGTGTATATTCCTTGCACTGGTTGTTTGAAGTTGGACTACAATAATGATATTAACGGGACCCACTGTATAACTCTGAAGTGGTTACTCTGCTGCAGTTTGGCTTTGTATATACATTGCAGTATAATAATAGCCTCCTCTGCTAAATCTTTTTTTTCTGAAGGTCTCTCGGAAGCACAAGGAGACCGACATTCCCTTCTAGTGGACCATCACACCTTTCAGACAATTTATCCCAACAAACACACTGCGGAGGCACACTAAATTCATAGACTATAGCATAACTAATTGAGAATGACTGTCAATAATTTGTGATTATAGAAAAAAATTTTGTAACTGTGTACCAATAAAGGAATATTTGCCTACCAGACAAGTTCACTGGCACGCTAATTTATAGACAGCGCAACATAGCGTAACATGGAACTCTGCGCCAACCCAAAGAAATATTTGATTTGTGTGAAGTTATAGGTTTGTACAAAATCATACAATCATTGTGCAGCATGTGATAATTATGACATCGTGGTCATGTCATGTGTCCGAACGCCATAGTTTGATTGTCTTGTCGGTCTCCAGTGATCCCGAGGCAATCATGTTCTCGGTTGGATGACAGGCTGTGCAGAGAACTGTGTCTGAGGGAGGGAAGGAGAGGGTAGAGAGGGAGAGGGGGGAGGGAGGGAGAGGGAGGAGGAAGGAGAGGGGAGAGGGAGGGAGGGGGAGAGGGAGGTAACCGACAAACTCCCGCTTCATTACAGTGGAACGTACAAATAATGGAAACGTTGGGACCATGCTTTACCCCACCTCAAAAAGTGAACGTTTGGGACATCAGTGTGTGTCCTTTGAGAGGCACAGATTGGTAGCCCAACTAAACCATTTCACAGACTCTCATAACTGTGGGGACAACTGGCAAAATCATCATCAAAACTGCATGTGCTCCTCCAGCAAGAGTGCTGTTTGCTTACATTGTACTGCAACGTTGTGTGTGTGTGTGAGAGAGAGACACAAACCTTTATGTCCCTCCAATTTCTGGACAATCTCTTTGGTCTGGAGGTTCCAGATGTACACTGAGTTGTCCTCTGATCCCGACACAATCCACTGTAAACAAACAACAAACAAAATGGAGTTGGTTCTTCATAGAAGACTAAGTTTTGAGTCACGAAATCTGCTGGTCAGCATTTTCATTGTTCTTAGCTCGTAACCCATGTTCATAACCTGTTCTTCGTACGGCATACTGTGCATTGAGTAACCAACAACACATTTTGTGACTCAAAACTTAGTCAAAACAAGGCAAAATGGAGTTGTGAGTGTCAAGGGCTCCAGGTGCCCCACCCACCTTTCCGCCAGTGACCGAGAAGTTGGCAAAGATGCAGTATTTCTCATTCTTGTGTCCGGAGTAGGTTTTGAGGCACTGCATGTAAAGAGAGAGGGAGGAGGGGAGGATGGGGACTGTAAAGAGAGAGGGAGGAGGGGAGGATGGAGACTGTAAAGAGAGAGGGAGGAGGGGAGGATGGGGACTGTAAAGAGAGAGGGAGGAGGGGAGGATGGGGACTGTAAAGAGAGAGGGAGGAGGGGAGGATGGGGACTGTAAAGAGAGAGGGAGGAGGGGAGGATGGGGACTGTAAAGAGAGAGGGAGGAGGGGAGGAAGAGAGTACATACACTCTCGGGCTAGGTTCACAGTATGTCGCATTGCCCTGTCGCGCCGTGCCGCGAAGAAAGAAACAGATTCTATCCTCGCGATGTGGCAAAGCAGCAAGGTGTGACGGGGCAGTGCGACATATTGTGAACCCAGCCCAACCTTGGCTCTGCTGTAGTCCCATAGTTTTAGAGTGTTGTCCAGGGTGCCTGCCAGAATGTACTTTCCATTGGGTGAAAACTTGACAAACGAGACTGGCGGATTCTCATCATCTGTAATGGTTTAGGTGGGTTAGGTGGGTTGGGGGGAGAGGGGAGACAGGGGTTGGGGGGATAGGGTGGGGAGAGAGGGGAGACAGGGGGTGGGGGGAGAGGGGAGACAGGGGGTTGGGAGACAGGGGGTTGGGGGGAGAGGGGAGACAGGGGTTTAAGTTGAAAGATGAGAGAAAAGTTGCAGTCCAACAACATACCGACTAATGTCTTCAAACACTGTCCTGAAGATGTGTCCCAAATACGACTGGAGGAAAGCAGAGGAGGAAATCAAGGCACGGAAAACAGCACACGGTGCAACTTAACCTCACGCACACGAGACAAGGTTGTCCCACGTGTAAGGAGAGAGTGAGGTGAAAGAAGAAACCCACAGACCAACATACCATAATGTTTACGTGATTCTATATTGTACGCGCTAAACACGCGCGAAATATTGAAATGCTCGCACCGTAATGTTCTACCCGATTCTAAATACGCGCAAAACACACAGGAACTTTTAACTGCTCGCGCTCGCTCGCCAAACAATGCGTCACATTCCTCTAGTAGATTACGAGTACCACTTGTCTCTTACCAGAGGCCGTCGTAGGAGGACGACACGATGAGAGAGCCGTCTCTGTTGAAATGGACGGCCGAGACGGGGTCAGAGTGCGCGGGGAGGGTTCGGAGACATTTTCCAGTCTTCACGTCCCACATTCTCACACTCTCGTCAAACTGTGGGACCGCAACAAAATAGGGTCCCCACGTCCCACATTCTCACACTCGTCAAACTGTGGGACCGCAACAAAATAGGGTCCCCACGTCCCACATTCTCACACTCTCGTCAAACTGTGGGACCGCAACAAAATAGGGTCCCCGACGTCCCACATTCTCACACTCTCGTCAAACTGTGGACCGCAACAAACAGGTCCCCGCGTCCCACATTCTCACACTCTCGCAAATGTGGACCGCAACAAATAGGGTCCCCACGTCCCACATTCTCACACTCTCGTCAAACTGTGGGACCGCAACAAATAGGGTCCCGCGTCCACATTCTCACACTCTCGTCAACTGTGGGACCGCAACATAATGGGTCCCACATCCCGACATCCCACATTCTCACACTCTCGTCAAACTGTGGGACCGCAACAAAATAGGGTCCCCGCGTCCCACATTCTCACACTCTCGTCAAACTGTGGGACCGCAACAAAATAGGGTCCCCGCGTCCCACATTCTCGTCAAACTGTGGGACCGCAACAAAATAGGGCCCCCACGTCCCACATTCTCGGCAAACTATGAACTAATATACATATGTGTTGCCTAGTTTAGTTTTCTATCTCGGGAGGGGGGGGGACATTAATATGCTCGACGTCACTTGCATAACTGAAGGGGTCAGAGTCAGAGTGAGCCAACGCTCAATATACAACTCTTGCCGGTTTTCCTTCAAATATGTTATAAATGTCCTTATAGAACAAAAACCGGCAAGAGTTGTATATTGTGGGTTGGCTCACTCTCCTTCATCTATACTTGGGCTTCCACCACAGCCAACAGTTTATGAGGAAAGAGGAATCTCTACCGGACACCCGAGGCAAACATTTCACAGGGTGAAATCCACAGGACTCAAGGGTTTTTGTAGTGGGAGAATGATTAACACATGACTCACCGATCCAGACACGACTAGGTTTGACTGGGGGTTAAAGTTGCAGCAGAATACGTAGTTGGTGTGCCCGCGGAGGGTCTTGAGACACTTCCCCTGCACCAAGAGAACACATGAGAATTAAACAGTGCATGCTTGTGTAGAAAGAGTAGTGCCGAGAAAGGAGGGCTTTAAGGGACTCTTTTTCAAAGAACTATGTGAGTGCAAACCCTCGACGCACTAAGAACATGCACATAAGTATACACAAGCGCAGTAATTGATGGGCTGGGCTATTTTACTTTGTGGCTTTTGCCAGCTTACTGAAGGTCAGGCTAGCTACACTACTATAGATGCGTTGCAACTACTGGTCCCTCCAAGGTACGCAGCGCAAGCAGATACAGTCAAGGTAAGCCAGTGCTAATTTGCATATTGGCTTTTTCCCTTTGTAACATAACTCATGAACGCAAACGTGTTTTGTGAGGCCTTAAAATGGAGATATTCACACAATTCTTGAGGTAATGGGTGTTTGTATAGTGATACTGAGATGGGATACATACTGAGGTAATAGTGTTTATTTACAGTTGCCATCTCCCATATCCTGAGAGTCTTGTCGTCAGACGCCGATACAAGGTACTTTGAGTCCTGAGACCACGCCACGTCTGAGATTCCCTAATCATAGAGCGGCAGGCAGGGAGGGAAGGAGAGAGGGAGGGAGGGAGGAGAGCGAGGGAGGGAGGGAGAAATGCACTATCTATGCACATCTGTTCCAGCGCCTATCGTTTACATAACACTAATACCAACACTGCAGGAGACTATGGAGGGAGTTGTTTTAGAGCCAACCACACAAGTTTTAATCTGCTAAAGTTTTGGGAAGAATCAAACTCTGCGAAATGTTCTCCGCACACATCGTGAAGGTTATAGTCCCCCATAAGTTACCTCTCTCGCTACATGGCAGCTGGGTTCAAGACCTGCAATAAAGATTCCAATGCTTGCAGTTTACACGTTCCTCCAAAGCGGTTGTGACATAAGGCACCCATACATAGTCCTTTGCTGCGCTCACAAACATTTCCTTGTTTGCATAAACACCCAGTCTCAAATCTGATTCTGGGATTTATAGCCTGCATATACACACTAATGCTGTTACTGTTCCTTTTTACCAGCTTGTGCCCAGTGATGGTTCTCTCGTATTGGCCGTCATAGGCCCCCCATATCTTGACCGTCTTGTCTGCAGCTGAGCTGGCCAGCCACTGCCCGTCTGGACTGAATTTCACGGAGCTGACTGCCTTTGTGTGGCCCACTAGTGTGAACTTGAGACTGTAGTTAGGACGCTGCGCGTGCAGGGACAGAAAGAAAGAGGGAGGAGAGAGAGAGGCACTAAATAGAGAAACAAAACACGCGATGCTCATGTACCCGTCCCGAGCTCCTGGCGGCCCCTCCTCCGGGTCCCTCGGCGCTCGACTCTGGTTTTGCAGCTGCGGCAGGCTCTGTTCTCCCTTCGGCCGTTGCGGCCGTCGCCATTCTGCGACAAGCAAAGCCGATCACGAAGCAAAAAACAAACAACAACTGTAACTGAACAGTGAGTGTGTTTGGAACGGGACACGGGG